TACAGGGTTAAGAACCAGGGTTATGAATGATAATTTAAGATTTTGTTTTGGGATAAATAATATATACTTCAAAAAAATATATAATCCGTGAAAAGTTACCTCGTCCTTCCTGCCCTAGTCACCAGCTTCCTTTTCACAGATGACCAATATTTATTAGTTTCTGATGATCCTTCCAGAGAAGCTTTATGATTGTGGACAGGCAAGCATAAACTTCCTCTTTTTTCTTGTTCTCTGTCTTACATACATTGACACACAACACACACCTTCTTCTCTTTGTTCTTTCTTTTCACAGTGTATCTTAAACGTTCCATGTTAATTCATCATGTTTTCTTGTTTCCCCCTTTTCTGGCTGCATATAATTTGAGTGGATGTACCTGGACGTTTTGAACAGTCTGTTGTTCATGGATATCAAGGCTGTTGAGCACACAAATGACACCATGGATAATTCTGCTCATGGATACTTTCATGTGTGTAGCATATGTATTAAAAACTCTTAGAAACAGAATTTTTAGGTCAAAAAACTTGTGTATTTGTAATTTTGCTAGAAGCTAATTTTCCACCATAGAAGTCGAACTAATTTCCACTCCCCAACCGGGTGGGAGTCCGAAAGTTTCCCCTTGCCCTTGGGACGTATTGTGTTAATGCATGCCTGGGTGTCTGAGAGGTAAAAACCATGGTGTCGAGGTGTGGTTTTAACTTGCATTTCTAATTGTGAATAAGGAAGTTATCTTTTCAGATTTTAGAAGTCATTTGTGCTTCCTTACCTATGAACTGTTTTTTCATATCTGGGTCTATTTTATTCTTTCTTCTACTGAGTTGTTTTTATTCTCATCTTTTTTTGTAAGTACATATAAGTATGTACTTATATATACACACATATATATACTTATACATATAAGTATATATTTTTGATATGTATATACCACTAACAGTTCATTTCCCTAATATATGCATATACACATATATGTATATGTATTACTATGTATACTATATATATTACTATAGTATACTATGTATACTATATATGGTATTACTATGTATACATGTATACTATGTATAGTGTGATATACTATATATATACTATATATAGTATAGTGGTATATATATATAAACACTATATATATAGTGGTATACTATATATATTATACACAGTATACATGTATACATAGTAATACATATACGTATATGTGTATATGCATATATTACATATATACATAGTATATGTATATACTATACATATATACATAGTAATACATATACATATATATGTATATGCATATATTAGGGAGATGAACTGTTAGTGTTCCTGAGTGGCAGATATTTTGTTCCTGATTTGTTGCTGACTTTGCTTACGGTGATGATTGGCATGTGGGAAGTTTTCTGAAATAAAACTTAGCAATCTTTTATGTTATATGGCTTTTTAAGTTTCATGGAAGACTCGGGCCTTTCTTGCTCCAAAATTCTTTCAAAACCCTCTGATTAGTGACGGTTGGCTAGAGCTCACCAGATTTCGGACTCCTGAGTGAGGTAGAGGCACTCCTGTGCCCCCTGCCCATATTCACAGATGCACAAGGCTGTGCAGACATTTCCAGGCATAAGGTGCAAGGTAAGATGAAAAGATGAATGCACTTGGATTTCCTACTTGACATTTAACGCTATGGAATCATTTCTTCCCAATTGTTTCTATCCAGTCATTGGCATTTGGGGAAAAGCTGGGGCCCTAGCAGGATGGATGAAGCTGAACTTTTTGTTGCCTGGACGAACAGAATGCTTAAGTAGGCGGAACACAAACAGTGGAGATAAGCTCACCTCAAGGGCAAGGGGCAGTAGGTCAGGAATCTGCCGCTGGCTCGCTTTTGGGCTCTGCCTTCTCGGCCTTTGCTTGGCACTTGGGCTACAAAGTTGCCTACCGGAACCAGTTTCCCCCTAACTGGAGGCTCTGGCCCTCTGGGTCACTGTGAGTGTTAATGGGGCTGACGGAGGGGACTGGGGAGTGGGAGCGAGCCCAAGGCCACAGGGAGCCCACCCCAAGTCTGCTGCTGGTGCCAGTCTGGCTCAGGATTTAGCCATCCCCAGCCCCTTTCTCTCTAGGTTTTGGCTCTGACCCTCAGAGTAGGGGGAGAAGGTCTCCCATCCCCCCACGGGGGCCTCCACTTCCTCCTCTGGGAGGAATCCTCCTCAGAATTCTGAGGAGGTGCCCCCACCACATTTTCACCCTAATCCAGCCAAAGGACAAAAGGAAACAGAAGTATCAAAGTACCATCCATTTTTTTCAAAGAAATGGAACAAATAATCCTAAAATTTATATGGAACCAGAAAAGACCTCAAATAGCCAAAGGAATATTGAAAAAGAAAGCCAAAGTCGGTGGCATCACAATTCCAGACTTCAAGCTCTACTACAAAGCTGTCATCATCAAGACAGCATGGTACTGGCACAAAAACAGACACATAGATCAATGGAACAGAATAGAGAGCCCAGAAATAGACCCTCAACTCTATG